AGGTAATGCGGAGTTTCTTTGGTCATGTTGAAATCCTGGAGAAGTCCTGAAAGGTTATTTGGAATTCCTTAAGTGGTGGTGGGTTTGATCGTATGCGGATCGGTTATTTTGGATTCGTTTAAGTTTGATTGGGGTAAGTTACATTGTATTAGGTAGCGTTGTGTTTTAGGTTGTGTTGGGTTAGGTTTGGTTTGATTAGGTTCAGTAAAGTTAGTTAAGTTAAGGGTGCGTTGTATAAGGTTGTTGTTTTACGATGGGTTGGGATGTCCTGGAGAATTTCTATCGTATTCGTCCGGTGGTCGTTGGGACTTGCTGGAAGAGTCCTTGAGAATCCTGGAGAATTCCTGGAAAATTCGTGGAGAAATCCTGGAAATGTATTATAGTAGTGTGTGAGAAGTCTTGGAGACGTTATGCGCAAATTGTTTTGTCACGGAGAATTGGTGGAGAAATCCTGGGGAAGTCCTATATGGTCATTTGTAAGCCCTTAAGCGGCGGTGGGTTTTATCCCATGCGGGTCGGTTCTTTTGGATTCATTTAATTTGGATTGAGATATGTTACATTGGATTAGGTTGCATTTAGCGTTAGGTTAGGTTCTGTTAGGTTTATTTGGGTTAGGTTTTTTATGTTAAGTTAGATAAGGTTGTTTTGTTTTACGTCTGGTTAGGTTTTACCCTGAAGAATTTCTAGCGTTGTTCGTGGAGATGTCCTGGAGACGTGCTGGAGAAACAGGGCTGTGTTGTCAGTAATAAAATCCCTGACATCATTATTTTGTCCGTATGTTCTAACGTTTTGAGAAAGCAAACGCATTTCATCGCTTGCCGGCAAATTGCTACAGCTTTCTAACCTGAACTCTTCTATTTAAATGAATACCGCAAAGAACGCGAATGGTGGCATTTAGCGTGCATTATTCTGGCATTTATTTTTCTAGGTAGTAGATATCTTGTCATGTCTGTATGCATGTTTCCCCGCTACACTTCATGGACAAATTTCCCTTTTGCTTACTAGGTGGCAGTCAGTTCGTGAAAGTCGGAGTACAGAAGCAACAGCAATATAAAGTGGTTAACTCAGATAATTCAATAAGCCACATACAAAGTGTGAAACATGCCTGCTGTTAAATCGAAAAGTAAAAGGAAGATGCCGGCTAAAAGAAAATCAACGAGGAAAGTTAAGAGTTGCGCAGTTTCTAAGAGAAAGTGTAAGTATAACCTCACTTATATGAATGTTAAATCTTAATATATTAGTGGTCGAGACTCATTTTAGGTGTTCTTGCATATGTGTACAGATTGGTAATCTACCTGAAACATATGACGTCCGTTGCATAAAATACGGATCAGAATCTTAGTTTTGGCATATTGGCTTGGTTAGTGTGATCTCCGAACACTCAGACACATTTTGAGATAACTTATCCTGTGATGCTCATTGAAGTTGATCTTCTTTGATTCACTAAAAATACATTGTGAATTTTGGTCTCTGAGGCCTCCAGATTGTGTAGATTAATTATGAAAACTTTGTTATGTCCGACATTAATAAGTGTTTATAACTGCTTGTGTTGGGTTTATAAATACATTCAATTTTTAAATGCTGTGTGATAAACTTTTTCAGGTCGCCCTAGTACTCCCAAAAAACCAAAAGGTCAGGGAGCAAAAAATCCTAAGAAAATGATTCCAAAAGCTGCAAAAGAAGCAGTGGAAGATGGATTGAAGATTAGTGCTATAGATGAAAAGACGTCGCCTGTCGAAAAGAAGTAAACTTCTGGTAGAGCCAAACGCAACAAGAGGAAAACGTGAATGTTTGGAATTTGGGGTGAATTTCTTCATCCAGATTACCATTTTCACCACTCATCAGTCTTTGTTGTAATATGCCTTACCAGTTTGAAATGTGTTGCATTATATTCTCTGAACCTCAGATGTAGGATTTAAACCGGTAGCACTGTCACAATTGTTGCCCATTGTGTACAATATGCAGAAATTGCTGGGCCTTGGTGTTGGTTTTTATATTAAAATTTGTTAACATTATTGCATAAGTATCTGGCATGTACTGTATTATAAAGGTTTTCATCACACTTTGATGTAATACTGATTAACGAATGTAATACAGTATGTCCACAAAGTCCCTTAGGGGATTTGAAAAATTGTGGTACGCAAACAAATTGAGCTAGCCACATGCGGTTTGCGGCCGATTACTGGAAGCTTTTTTGCTGACCTCAGTAGATCTTCCTTGGTAGCACGGAGAACGTCCAGATATTCGAGCTCTTGCCATGTTCTGTTGAGCATGTTCGCTGGAATAGCCGAGATCGCATTTCCGATACGGGTCTTCAGGTCAAGTCCGTTAACTGGTGACCTGAAGGCGTCTGGATGTTCTCCATTTTACCAAGGGAGCCTACAACGAGGTCTACTGATGTCAGTAAAAAACTTCCAGAGTTTCAATTCTGCTGCAAATCGCATATGGCTAGCCCAGTTTGGTTGCGCGCCACAATTTTTCAAAACCCCGAAGGGACTTTGTGGACACGCTGTACATTTCAAATGTATTACATCATGTCTAAATATTTTGCCATGCCCCATTGATTGAGATTTGCTATTTTGTGGGCTTATGATAAAATTTATTCATGCAAATGTATTACTTGAATTGCTTGCAATTAAAATTTTTATTCTGTAATGTACAGACAGTCCATGCATGGACATGTTTCTGTTTTGCAATAAAAATTTATCTGCAGTAGTACAATTTTTTTAAGAGTTGTGAAGTTCAGTACTTTCAGAATTTCTATCTCTTAGATCATGAATTTTACTTTAAGTACAGTCAGTTGTATTAGTTTTTTCTTTCTTTATTTTGTTTCCAGGTTATTATGTTTTTAAGCTTGTCTTCTGTGGTAAACCTTACTTCTTAATAATTCGGAATCCCCAGACTATTGGTCTTGGCTTTAACT